TGACCCTGTCCACGGATGCGGGCGGGGCCCCACACGTCCATGTGGAGAGTCTGCAGTGGAGCCTTTGTCGGAGGAAACTCGGAGGAGTGAGGAGCGGCGCGCTGCCGTCCCTCGACGCAGGGAACGCAGGTAGGGGCAGGCCCCGGAGGAAGGGGAGGGAGGGACCTGGGGAGACCAGAGACAAGGACACGGGAGGCCATGCCTCGGAGACGAGGCAGGGAGGGGTGACCAAGGCGGTGGTGCCAGAGGAGAGTCTGGTGGGACAGGAGGCGACACGAGCAGGGGGCAGACTCAGGACCAGACCGAGACGCTGCAGCAGACACCTGACCTGACGCAGCAACCTGACCAGACGCAGTAACCAAAGGAGACTCAGTCGTCAGTGTGTACAGGCTCGACCCCGGCTGACGGGTAAACGTGGCCAAGTGTCGGCCCGTCCGAGCACACGTACATTGGGTCACTCGCTGACTCGCAGGAGTGAACTGGTCAACCCCTCCATCCTGCAGGTCAGCACCACTCACCAAGTTCGTAGAGAACGAGGGGAGGTAAAGACCTGACAGGAAGCCAGACGGGGCCGCCGGACACGGTAGCATAGTGGAGTAGTGAGCAAGGACAGGACCCCCAGAGGGGTCTTCCAGAGAGACTGCAACCGGCCGACTAAGCGGTGTGAGGGTGGTGCGGTCTCGAAAGAAGGAGCGGGAAGCACCCGAGTCAAGGGTGAAGGTGTGCAAGACCGCAGCAGGCGCAGCACCAGAGAGAGCAGACTCACCAGCACCTGGAGCAGGAGACTCACTAGCACCTAGAGCAGCAGCCTCACCGCCACCGACACCTAGAGCAGGAGACGCACGAGCACCTAGAGCAGCAGCCTCACCAGCACCTAGAGCAGCAGACTGGATACCGGGGTCAGGCGGCACACACAGGTGACAGGCACCCTGAGCACTAGTACACAATGCATACATTGCAGTGAGAAGAGCATCATAGTCAAGAGCAAATATATCTACCCTCTGCCTAAGCAGCTCCAGCCAGGAGAGGAGCTCAGCGTCGTCGCCAAACTCTGTACGCCAAGCGTCGCTCAGACGGGCGAAGCAGCGGGACTCTGTGTGACCAGGAGTCTCGCAAGGCTGACCAGTCCGGACACCCGTGCGAATGACGTACGGGCAGCGAGCAGTACTCAGTGACCCTCTACTCTGAGCGTACCACTCGCGAAGCTGCTGGGGCGAAAGGGTCTCGCGCGGACGACGCTGCAGCTGCACCTGGCCACTACAAGAAGCTCCCGAACTACTCACTCCAGGACGACTCCCACTACGGCCACCCCGACAACCCCAACTAGCGTACCACTCACGAAGCTGCTGGGGCGGGAGGGACTCACGCGAACGTCGCTGTAGCTGCAGCTGGCCACCGCCAGGAGTAGCAGTAGCAGTAGTAGCCGCAGTAGCAGCAGTAGCAGCAGTAGTAGCAGTAGCCGCAGTAGCAGCAGTAGCAGCAGTAGCAGTAGTAGCAGCGCGGCCACCCCTACAACCCCAGCTAGCGTACCACTCACGAAGCTGTTGGGGCGTGAGGGACTCACGCGGACGGCGCTGGAGCTGCATCTGGCCACGCCAGGAGCAGCAGTAGTAGTAGAAAGAGCAGTAGCAGCAGGAGCAGCAGTAACAGCAGTACGGGCAGGGCAGTGCTTACCAGTGGCAAGAAGGGCAGGCGTACGACGGCGGTAACAGCTAGGCCGCTACCACTGCAGGGCGAGGGCTCCGCGGCAGCTGCAGGAGCGGCTGCTCCAGGGGCCAGGGGCGGCTGCTGCAGGGGCGGCTGCTCCAGGGGCCAGGGGCGGCTGCTGCAGTTGCGGCTGCTCCAGGGGCCAGGGGCGGCTGCTGCAGGGGCGGCTGCTCCAGGGGCCAGGGGCGGCTGCTGCAGGGGCGGCTGCTCCAGGGGCGGCTGCTCCAGGGGCCAGGGGCGGCTGCTCCAGGGGCCAGGGGCGGCTGCTGCAGGGGCGGGGGGGGGCAGGGGCGGCCGTCCGAAGGTCGGGCGCGGGTTAGGGCAGGGCGCCGCGGCGGGCAGGGGCGACTCCGCGCGAGTCCCGCAGGGGCGTCGCGACGAGCGGGGGCGACGCCCGGGTCCCGTTGGGGCGTCGCGACGTGCAGGTTCCGCGCCTCGCGGGTCCCGCAGGGGCGTTGCGACGAGGCGGGGGCGACGCGCGGGTCCCGCTGAGGTGTCGCGACGAGGCAGGGGCGACACCCGGGTGGCGACGGGGCGGGGCCGCGACTAGCGACGGGGCGGGGCCGCGACTGGCGACGGGGCGGGGCCGCGAAGGGGCCGCGAAGGGGCCTCTAAGGGGGCCGCGAAGGGACCGCGAAGGGGCCTCTAAGGGGCCGCGAAGGGGCCGCGAAGGGGCCGGGAAGGGGCCGCTAAGGGGCCGCGAAGGGGCCGCTACGGGGCCGCGAAGGGGCCGTGAAGGGGCCGTGAAGGGGCCGCGAAGGGGCCGCTAAGGGGCCGCGAAGGGGCCGTGAAGGGGCCGTGAAGGGGCCGCTAAGGGGCCGCGAAGGGGGGGCCGCTAAGGGGCCGCGAAGGGGCCGTGAAGGGGCCGTGAAGGGGCCGCTAAGGGGCCGCGAAGGGGCCGCTAAGGGGCCACGAAGGGGCCGCTAAGGGGCCGCGACAGGCCTCAGGAGCAGGGCAGGCCGCTAAGGGGCCGAGAAAGGGTAGGTCAGGTCAGAGCGCGAAGCGCGCTTCGGGCAGGGTAGGAGAAAAAAAATTCGATGGTGGGCCCTAGGAAGAAATGGTCCCACTAGGGAACCCGCTCTATACCATGTGAAGAAAGAAGTGTGTTGAACTAGCAAGGAGATGGGTACAAGTAAGAAAACCTAGAAGTGTTGTACCCCATATAGTCTACCCCACTACAGCCTACACAGACTATGTCATATATATGTTTGATAGCATGCATCAGCTGGTGCGGGGCAACTGAACCACGCTCTAAAAAAAAAAAATCGTCGCATCATTTTGGGCTCACTGCTGCCCATCGTCAGTAACAAAACTCCGCCCTGCTAACATCTATCGGGAACAGCAACACCTGTTCGCTGAGAGAACAGATAGAGGGTGTTGAGGGATGTTCGAGTTTCCCCGTCATATTCTTGGGCAGCTACCCAGCTCGTGTGTGGGCGCCGGGCAGAATATACAGGCATGTTATGAGTGCGTCAGGTACGTGAGGATGTGAAATTGGAATTCGAGTCCAATTTTCAGATGTCTTCAAGCCTCGATTCCAAATTACTGAACCTAAATTTCGCAATTTCAATTTTGCCATTTCCGAGCCTCGATTTTCCAATGTGCGCATTAGTCCGAGCCTCCGGCGCATCAGAGCTGATGCACCTGCAGAACACGGCCCATGTTGCCATAACATGACATCGAGAATTGACAGACAATTCCATGCCATAGATGGCACGGAATCTTCGATGTCGTTCGAGTTCGCCTAGGACGATGGGCCAGTCCGTCGTCGCGCGCTCGATTGACAGTTCGGGAAATTGGCCCGATAGCACAAACAAATCTGCCACTCCGCCATGCTCTCCTTGTTGCCTGCTCCCACCGCTTCTTTCCTCCGTTGCTCAACCTTTTATTCGTCACTCTCGCTGTCCTCTCGGCGTGTTTCACCCAAATTACAGTCCGTATCAGCCGCCTTTTGCTGCGGCTGAGGAATCTGCCGTCTGTCGTCACGCGGCTTTCGCAGAAGCCTCTGTTTCTCATCCACCCTCGAGGCTTTTGGACAAAGCGAGTCAGCCTCGGGATTGTCGCCACCATGCTAAGGGCCCAGACCCCCGAAGAAGTTGGCGGAGCAGAATTACCCGACGGATCCTTTATCGGTTTTCTTGGCGAGTCAGCAGGTGAAGAAAATGCATGCGGAACTTTCTGCCAACAGGGACTCCACAGGAGCTGACTCCGCGGACGCTGTCTCCGCGCCCGCCACCACGACCCCGCAGCTCCAACACCCACCGGTGCGGTTCAACCAGGACTACACGTTCTTCGCGTACGCATCGCACAGCGGCTTTTGCGTGTTCTGCTGCGACCCTCTGGGAAAGTCGATTCGGCGCGACTTCGACGGGCGCGGCGTGGGCATGGTGGAGATGCTGTTTTGCTCCAACTTATTCGCGCTCGTGGGCGGCGGTCCCAACCCTTGCTACCCGCCCAACAAGTTGCGGCGCGAAGAAGAGAGAGGTGAGGAGATTCGGGAACCTGATGAAGGGGAAGAAGGTGCAGCAGGGGAGGAAGGAAGGTGAGGGGGGGACGCGGGAGGCGAGGGGAGGAACGGAGGTGAGGGGGGAACAAGAGGTGAGGGGAGGAGCGGAGGTGAGAGGGGGACGGGAGGTGAGGGGAGGAACGGAGGTGAGGGGGGGACGGGAGGTGAGGGGAGGAACGGAGGAGAGAGGGGGTAGGGAGGTGAATGGGGAAGGGGGGTGAGGGAGGGAAGGGAGACAAGGGGAGCAAGGGAGTTGAGGGGGGGAGGGGAGGTGAGGAAAGTGAATGAGGAGGTGAGGGGAGCTTGGGAGATGAGGGGAGGAAGAGGGGAGATGAGGGGAGGTGAGGGGGGAGATGATGGGAAATGGGGCGACAGTCAAACCCGGTGCATCGACAAGTGCGTTCGTTACGATTCTTGCTCTTCTTGTGTTGTTCCCCCCCTCCCCCCCCCACCCCTCCTCCCCACCCTGTTAACCCCTCTTACCCGGTGCTTCGGTTCCGTCTGACCTCTGACGGCAGCCGGTGTTTCACTTCGGCGAGCTGGCGCACACAAGCTGGTAAATGATCCCTGCTCAACTGTCGTTCCCTCTCTTTCCTAGCCCCCCTCCCCCGCTCTTCCCCTTTCTCCCACCTGCTCCTCCCTCTCCCCGTGTTCACCTTTTAGGTGATAATATGGAACAACAAGGAGAGCCGGTGCATGGGCGAGCTGACCTTTCACAATGAAGTGAGGGGCGTGCAGCTAAGGAGGAAGCACATTGTTGCTGTGCTGGAGCACAAAATCTATGTGTTCAGCTTCTCGGGCTTGAAGCTGGTGCACAAGGTGATACTTGCGTGATGCCCGCACCAGGTGATGCCCGCACCAGGTGATGCTCGCACCAGGTGATGCCCGTACCAGGTGATGCACGCACCAGGTGATGCCCGCACCAGGTGATGCCCGCACCAGGTGATGCCCGCACCAGGTGATGCCTGCACCAGGTGATGCCTGCACCAGGTGATGCCTGCACCAGGTGATGCATGCACCAGGTGATGCCTTCACCAAGTGATGCCTGCACCAGGTAGCACCTCACACTGGCAGGTGGAGACGTTGCCAAACCCCAATGGGCTGTGCAAGGTATCCCAGTCAGTCCAGCCCAGTTGCTGGTGGGATGCATCTGCCTCATTCCATCACGCGCCTGTGTCTCTTCCTCACCACCACCAACACCACCACCACCACCACCACCAACACCACCACCACCACCACCACAACCAACACCACCACCACCACCACCACAACCACCACCACCACCACCACCACCACAACCACCACCACCACCACCACCACCACCACCACCACCACCACCACCACCACCACCACCACCACCACCACCACCACCACCACCACCACCACCACCACCACCACCACCACCACCACCACCACCACCACCACCACCACCACCACCACCACCACCACCACCACCACCACCACCACCACCACCTCCACCACCACCACCACCACCACCACCACCACCACCACCACCACCACCACCACCACCACCACCACCACCACCACCACCACCACCACCACCACCACCACCACCACCACCACCACCACCACCACCACCACCACCACCACCACCACCACCACCACCACCACCACCACCTCCACCACCACCACCACCACCAACACCACCAACCCCCACCCACCTTCTTCCACAAGACAAGTGGATTGGAGACGCTGTCGAACCCCAAGGGGCTGTGCACTGTGTCCCAGTCGCCCGACAGCTTGTGCTTGTTTGCATACTGCCACTGCTGCCTCATGCAGCATAGCACGTTCCTGTGCCTGTCCCCACCCACCAAACCACTGCCATCACATGCCTGGCAGGTGGAGACGCCATCAAACCCCAAGGGGCCGTGCGCGGCGTCCCAGTCGCCCGACAACTTCGTCATGGCGTGCCCAGCCAGGCACCCGGAGGATGCTGGTTGGGATGGTGGCATAGTGGGTGGGATGATGGTTGGCATGGTGGGTGGGATGGTGGGTGGGATGGTGGGCGGGATGGTGGGTGGGATGGTGGGTGAGAGTGTTGAGATATGAGAATGAATTAACCGAGGAAATGAGAACAAGCAAAGATATATGTCAGCCCTAACCAGGGCCTCAGATGTCAGGAATTTTACCCTGAATTCATGAAGTTTGACCCCCGTTTTTTATCATGACCCTGATGCATCAGCCTTTTTTTTTCAATGACCCTGATGTTTCAGTGTTTTTTAATTTCGAACTCTGATTTTCCAGTGTTTTGTGTTTGATGACACTGACGAGTCAGTGTTGTATCGGGGTCTACCCTGAAACCGAAAACTCCTTGTTTTGGCCCGCCGTCACCGTGCACCGTGCACCAAGGGGATTTCTGGCGAAACATGCTCTGACAGGGCAAATCTCTTGTGTGAGGGGCGAATCTGCTGCAGTGTCAGGGCAAATCTGCTGTGATTGGGCGAATTTGCTGTGCTGCGACAGCGCGTAACGACTGTGCAAGGTCGAATTTGCTGTCAGGGCGAATCTGCTGTGACGAACCAAGTCCGAATCATCAGTCAAGTACACAACCAGAGATCGGAAACAGTTGTTAAAGCTCAAGGCCCAAATTGCGGATCGGGCTGGGCAAGTTTAGTAAAGTTGATCGACAGTTGTTTTGCAGGTGTTTCTTTTGCGAATTGGGGTTACGAGCTGTACGAAGCCAGCTGATTGGCCAGTAAAATTCAAACAGTGTTCTTGGAGCAGGAGGGGAGGCGAAGTTGCAAGAGTAATATCCGTGCAATATGGGACCCACGCAACCAAACGCGAGGTGGCCCCTAGGTATGCTGAGTCAGCGAAAAACAAAATGAGTGTGGCGAGAAGTTAGGCGAAACCAAAGCCCTCGACCCAACCAGCACCTCGACTTTCCTGCCCAGCTCCTTCACCACCCAAAGCCCAACTTTAGTAAAGTTGAACAATTTGGGCCTTGAGCTTTAACAATTGTCCTATTCGATTGGTCAGACAAGATTTCTGACCAATCAGACACGGAAATAGCAAAATTTTGGCCGAATTTGGGAATTGTAAAGTGAGGGCAGTCTGATTCGCTGTGTTATGACAGCATACCAGTATAAGCAACTATGCTGATCAGTGTTGAAGTTTTAGAAACCCTGATTGATCAGCGTTTTATTTCTAACAACCCTGAAAAATCAGTGTTTCACACTAGACGACACTGAAAATCAGTGTTACCCTCCTAGAGACATTGAGTGCTCAGGGTACCCAAAAACCAATCTGAGGCCCTGGCCCTAACCCTAAACCTAGGACAAAGTAAATGCACCTAGACTAGAACAATGCAAACCAGGCCCCTAGATTCGTTTTGAGGTAGTCTGACGCCTCAGAGTACACCCCTCCTGGAACTCTGTCTGTCAGAGGTGCCTCAAAATTTTAGTCTGAAAATTCAGACAAGCACAACTTTTTTTGTCTGAACTGTCAGAGTTACCCTCAAACTTTAAGATCATGATGCAGTATCGTAAAAGCATATTTATAATAGCATTGAAGCTGATTACAGCATACCAACTCAACTGTGCGGTACGAACCAGTCAGGGTCGGCGGGTTTGCATCAGGCAACGTGCTCGTGCATCGCCTTGGTTGTTTTGTCACGTGCAGCGCATGGGTTGTTTGTGCTGATTAGATTTCGTTTCGTCGTGTGTGTGATTACCGTTCTGTACCCATTTTCTCGCCTGTGTGCCGATTTTGTCAATTTTGGATTTGCGTTTCAAGCGATGTGATCATTCACCCGATCTGGTTGTTGTCACGTACAGTGCCAGGTGGGCCAAGTGCCACGCAGCTGAGCTGGCAGCAGGCAGAAACTGTTGGTTGGCGTGGCGTGTGTGAGCATCTGGCAGTGCCGCACGGAACTTTCACTACGAATCAGAAGAAACGAGGAATGGAATGACTAAAGGAAAGTTGGGTACAAAAGCAAACCCTAGAAAACTGTACCCCATATGTGCTACCCCACTATAGCCTACAGTAGCTATGTCATATAAATCTGACAGTGCGTGCTGCAGATTTTTTTACAAAGAATCAGCATCAAAATCGCCAATTCTTTAAAATACATTAGCGATAACTTACATGTGACGAGATTTTGCCTACGAAATCTCGTAAACACGCAACCATTTTCTTAGTGTAACTGGGAGATATTCTCGACGAACGAGTTTATTCGGATGTCCCAGCTGTTGAAGCGTGCGTTGCTCACGTCCTGGCACTCCACTGCCATCTTGGAAGTGGGCATATCGAAAAGAAACTTCCAGGAAACTTCGTTTCGATAAGCTCGCAGAGTGCACCCCCGACACAAGTCTGAGGCTCAGCCTACACCCCTAAAAATTGGCTGAAATTGTGAAAGTTTAAAAGAAGAAGGAGAGTTGCACTAGCAAGAATGAGGATACAAATAGCAAACCCTAGAAGGGTTGTACTCGCTATAGAGCACCCCACTACAGGCTAGAGCATAATATTCTGACACACCCCCATAGCCAAAGTGGGGTGTAATCAGCAGAGCAAGCACAGCAGTACAAGCTCAGGGTGGATCACAATGTCACCACACATTCTGAGCACAAGTTCAAGAAGCAATAGTTTAAAGTTCACAATTATGAGCAAAGCTAGAGGCTATCGCAGAGGGCAAGTGAGGAGGAGGAGAGACTGTGGGGGAGAGAAGATGGGAGGCGACTGCTGACGCTGCAGACACACAGACGAGCTGCTGGCTCAGTGGCTACCGGAACAACGCTCCGGACTACTGGGGTAACTGGCCCCGCGGCTAAAAGTAGCGGCAGACGAGCAACGGACCCACGGGCGACTGGCGACTACCGGAGATTGTAGCCTCCGGACTGCTGCTGCTGCTGACGACAAGACTGCTGCCTCCACTCGACCTCCCCCAAACAGTACCACCCCTCCTGACACACACCCGCTGCTACACCGCTAGCTCCACTCCCCCTTCACCCCCCCTTAGCACCACTCCAACGGCTCCAACAAGTCCACCCCCCCTCAGCGGCAGCTGCAGCACAGGGAGACGGAGGAGGAGGAGGAGCAGGGAACGGCACACAGTAGATTCACCCCCATACCCCTCACCCCCAAACCCTAATTCAGGAGAACGGGCTGTAGGAGGGGTGGGGCGCCAGCAGAAGCACGGGGGGCAGCGGGGAGGGCAGGGGCAGCGAGGAAAGGGCCGCCCACGGGCCTGGCACAGCCTCCCGAACCGCGCGCAGGCGGCCCGAGCCGCGCGCGGGCCTGGCGCAGCCCGTACGGGCCGCGCGCGGGCCTGGCGCAGCCCGTACGGGCCGCGCGCGGGCCTGGCGCAGCCCGTACGGGCCGCGCGCGGGTCTGGCGCAGTCCGTACGGGCCGCGCGCAGGCCTGGCGAAGCCCGTACGGGCCGCGCGCCGGCTGTACGGGCCGCGCGCAGGCCACGACGGGCGACGGGGGGCGACGCGCGGGTCCCCGTCGCCCGTCGCAGCGCCTCCCGAGGGCGACGCGGCGAGTGACGGGGTAGAAGCCCGCCGCGCGCCTCGGGGCGCACAGCGGGCAGAGAACCGCCGCGCGCCACGGGGCGCACGGCGGGCAGAAAACCGCCGCGCGCCTCGGGGCGCACGGCGGGAAGAAAAACTGCCGCACGCCACGGGGCGTGCGGCACAGAGGGTAGGAGTGGAAGTTGCAGCGGAAGCAACGAGGTGGTGAGCCCACCCACAGGATCGATCCAAGGGGATCGACCTGCTCTGATAGCATGTGAAAGTTTAAAAGAAGAAGGAGAGTTGCACTAGTAAGAATGAGGATACAAATAGCAAACCCTAGAAGGGTTGTACTCGCTATAGAGCACCCCACTACAGGCTAGAGCATAATATTCTGACAGAAATTTCAGCGGTTACAATAAAATAAACTCTGAAAAATCAGAGAAGGTACATAAAAAAAAACTTACAGTTCAGACCAGGTACCAAAAAAAAGTCTGAATGGACGCTGAATCAGCGTAAAAAGTCTGATATCTAGGGCACTGATGCAAACTATATCATTGTAGTTTGACACACCCCCATAGTCTAGGTGACGGTAGTCCTACGGAAATCAACACAAATCTCAGAGTGGATCACGAAGTCACCACACAATCTAAGAGCAAGGTCATAGGACCAGGCAGTAAGAGCAAGAAAAGGTCACACGACCGGTCTGCAACAACAAGAACCAAGCAAGGGATGCAACTCAGGGTGGATCACAACATCACCATACAGTCTGAGGGCAAACAAGGGGCCACAAGGCCAGAACATATGCATCGATATACATATATATAGGAAGAGATACAAGAGTACAAGACAAAGCATCTCCACGCAAGTAAATGAGGGCCTGTGGACACAAGGCCTAGCTGGGTGCAGAAGCACTGGTGGGCACAAGGCGCCAACGCCTTGGTGAAGATATCTGCAGTGTTGGCCTCAGAGACCACACGTACCACGCGGGCCTGGCCAAGCTGCTGAAACTTGCGGAGAAGGAAGTAACGAAGCTGGATATGCTTCGCCTTCCCAACCAGTCAGGGCTCCTCGCACAATAGGACAGCAGGCCTGTTGTCAGCGAACAAGACTGGGAGAGAGCGAGGCCGCTCACCAAGGTCGGTGAGGAGAAAACACAGCTAGTGAAGCTCATGTGCGGCCATGGTCACAGCGTACACCTTTGCCTCACAGCTGGAACTAGAGACAGACGACGCCCGAGTCGACCTCCACGAAACAGCTCCGGTCCCAAGACTGAAGCAGTAACCATGTGTAGACCGTAGCGACTCTGCGTCGTCGGCCCACGACGAGTCCGAGTAACCTGTAACTGTAACTGGCTGCTTCCCTCCAAGGACAAGTCCCATGCCTGATGTACTCGTCACATTCTTTGCCACCGTCTTAGCAGCGTACCAGTTGGAAGGTCGGTGTCTCCTAG